CTATTTCAATTTTTTCTCTACTGCTTACATTGTAACAAGCTCCAGTGATCTGCATAGCAGTTAGGTTTAAATGCCCAGGGCTGTGCATTTTGATATTTGTTAACCTCTGGTTTGATATTTCCTGTAAATAGTCTGAGTCTGTTTCACAATTTGTTTATTTAGACAGCATTATAACAAAGCTGGAACAATGTGCCTTCTTTGACGATAACATCAGAAAAGACATATTTTTCCTGACGGTCCATGACGCTGTGCTCCACATAAAGAGTCAAATTATGTATAAAGACATCCAGGATCCTATTTTTGAAAAGGTGAGGATCATAAATCACATATTTTATGATGTTTCTACTAGTTGCAAAACCTCCACTCCTCCAAAAAATTCCTGCCCAGGCATGTGCATTGAAGGTCTGGGTGGCCCTCATGCATATACCATGATCCAGGAGGATTGATGGCTGCCACTAGTTGCAAGAAGTTCTCGCTGTTTCTGTTGATGTGATACACGCTTAGGAAACAGCTGCAGAGTTGGTTTAGAAAACAGAAGGGGCACGTCCAGACGAGCCCACACGGACCCTTTGCAGCATCTCAAACCCCTTTGAGATGCTGCAAGAGGCACATGCAGGAACAAAAAAATCTTCCCCCTGCTGCAAATTTGCAGCAGGGGAGCAAAATTAGACCCCTGGATATCCAGGGTTCAAACAAACCCAGGGGGGAAAAATTGAGTTGCCTGAGGCAACCGGAGGCACTCTACCAGAGTACCTCTGGAGGACTGAGTCTCCGGTTGCCTCGGGGCACAGTGATTGGCCCTTTTCCCAGTCCTGAAGCACACTGCCTGCCCATGCTGGCAAGCAGGGGGTTGGGGAGCTGGAGGAGGGGACCTTCCCCAACTTCCTGTTCATTCCCCCCACTCCCGGTTAGTTCCCCTGCCCCCCCGTTTGTTCCCTTAGTTCCCTGCTGGCTCTCCCAGCCCCCATGCTCACCGGCAGTACCAGAGAATCAGCAGGAGGCTGGATACAGCCCCAGAGACATTCCCCTGCTGTCTCCAACCCCTTGCTCCTTCCCCTGCTTGTCTGCAGCCTCGGGAGAGCAGGGGACAGCAGGGGAATGTCTCCGGGGCTGTCTCCAGCCTTCTGCTCTCTCCCGAGGCTGGAGACAAGTAGGGGAAGGAGCAGGGGGCTGGAGACCAGCAAGAGGCTGGAGGCAAG